ATAGCTCTATGTCTGCACTTACGGGTTATTACATCCCAACACCTGCTTTTCATCCAGCTCAGGGCTAAGAGCTTTACATGCATAATTCTCCTCAGGTGTCATTGGCTGCAGAACCTGAGGTGCCCCTGAGGTTCCTGGGATAAGATGAGGTTCCCTAGCAGTGAAAGGTGGCTTCTTGCTGGAGCCCAGGGAAGAACCACCTCTGGCCAGCACGTTGCCCCCCTCCTCTCATCAGATTGAATTAGGTTTCTGGCATTTCATAACTCATTGAGACTTAATACAGGACTCTGTGCCAGATGCCATCTGCCTCCAGACTCACCTCCCCAGGAAGACCCAGAGATTACTTCAGGCCAATAATAGAAGGAGCAGCAGTCATCATTTACATAGTATCTACCATATGTCAGGTACTGTAATTGTTTCATACGTATCTATTCTTTTCATTCCCACAATAACCCATACGGTAGGTACTAGTGTTTCACCCTTAAGTACAGGTTAGCTCATCAAGATCACACAGCCCCACAGAGCTAAGATCTGAACTGCAGCTGCCTGGTTCCAGAGCCTGTTTTTTTTTTTTGCTGTACACTAGACTGCCTCTCCCGCCATGAGACCTTCCTTAGCCACCAGAGCCATGAGCAGGAGCTCCCTCTGATGTTTACCTGCTGGATTGTGTATTGTGGGTCCTGGGCACTGACATCAGAGACCATTCCAGGCTAGAGAAATTCAAACCTGATCTCAGGAATGCTTAGAGTAAGAGGAGCTCTGATATGAAGTCAATATGAACCCTTGGGTTCAAATTCCCATGTGCCACCAGAATGTCCAAAATTAGAAAGACTGACAACACCAAATGCTGGTAAGTTGGTAGAACCACTGTGGAAAACCATTTGGTAGTATCTAGACAAATTAAACATACACCTATCCTATAATGCAGTGATTCTACTCCTGGATATATGTGTGCACATGCACACCAAATGACACATACAAAATTTTTCAGAAGAGCTTTATTTATAATAGTTCAAAACTAGAAATAACCCAATTGTCCATCAACAGAATGGCTAAATTGTGGTGTATTCATATAACGGACTACTACTACAGAGCATGAAAAAAAAAAAAAAACTTCTGACACACATACACACACAAACATGGATGAATCTCACAGACATAATATTGAGCAAAAGAGGATGTGATTCCATTTTTATAGAATTCAAGAGCAAGCAAAACTAATCTAGGGGGATAGAGGTGAAAATAGTGTTTACTTCTGGGAGATAATAACTAGGAAGGGAAACAAAGGAAACTTCTGGGGAGCTGGCAATGTTCTGTATCTTGATCTGGAGGGTGACCACCTAGATGTACACATACATGTAAGGATTCATCAAATTGTGCTCTAAAAACTGGAGCACGTTACTAAATATATCTCAAAAAGGGAAAAAGTGATATTTCAAATACAGACAACTTCTGGGTATGGCTGACAAGTTATTTTTGCCTACCCACATCCATTCTTCTCCCTTAGTCTGAAAGGAGCCCCATACTTTCCTCTTTTCTGTTTCAGTCAATGTGTTTTAGGTGTAGCTCACTCTTTCTCAGTCCCCAAATCAGGGGCCTAGTCGCAGTGATTGGTTTAAGAACTGGAACAGGGCCAAGCTGGTTAATGAATGAATCCCAGAATTTTTTTGTTGGAACTAGTAGGAAAAGATGATCTTTCCAATGTAGTTGCCTCTCCATCAGGAGACAAGCCTGGAGCTGCCAGTGGCCATCTTGCTACCTTCTGGAGAGAGTTGGCCTGAGAAAGAGGCCACACAGAGGAAAGCAGAGTGAAATTAAATTCTTCCTGATGACAGTGTGTCAGAACCTGGATCTAGCCATCCCTGTACTGAAATTTTTCATTAGGTGAATCAATAAATTTCCTTTTTTAGCTAACCACTTTGATTTCAGTATATTTTAATGTTTATTTTTGAGAGAGAGACAGAGTACGAGCAGGGGATGGGCAGAAAGAGAGAGAGACACAGAATCCGAAGCGGGCTCCAGGTTCTGAGCTGTCAGCACAGAGCTGGACTTGGGGCTCGAACTCACGAACTGTGAGATCATGACCTAAGCCGAAGTCGGACACTTAGCCAACTGAGCCACTCAGGCATCCATCAGTTTCTTACAGTTATAAACTGGAGTCTAATAAACTGGGAATCTTGGGTAAAATTATGAGAAATATGGGGGAGCTTGGAATAAAAAATAACCACTGACCCTTGTCCAATCTGTTTTGTGGCTGCTTGCTCTATGAGCCCATGGCCCTGTCAGATGGTAGGTGAGGCAGGCCCAGGAGTTATATCAGAAGGATTCTGGTCCTTTTTGGAAAGGGTACTGGACGAGGAATCTAGAGAACTGGATTCTACTCTCCATTTTGTTGCTTCTTAGTGCCAGGACCTTGGATAAAATAGTACATCACTTTGACCCTTTTCTATAAAATGAAGTATCATTACCTAGCTCAAAAGGCTGTTATGCAGATCAAATGCAAGTTTCCCAACTTTTGCAGCTTTTTCATACCCTGAGGTGAGTTAAGACCTTTATCCTGGGCATTCTTGCTGGGCTCTGTAGGACCCTCTGACCATTGCCATAATGATCTTTAACAAGTATGTGAGCTTCCCAAGAGCAAGAAAGTGTTCATCCCTGTGCCCTCTTGCCGAAAGGGCTGGGCACGCGGCTAACAGGGACTCCTGAATCCAGACTAAGGTCTTGCAGGCCAAGGTTCATGATACAGTAGCCCACCCACCCTTCTGCCCTTCATTTCCTTGCGTGATAGATGAGGCTGATTCGGACATCCTGGATAAATTAGAAGGATTGCAGGGAAATTGCTGAGACAGTCTGGGCTTTGGAAGCTGAGAGCTGAGAACCCACCATGGGGGCCACGTAGGGCCTTTCCCAGCTGGTCAAGAGCAGGTACCCAAGAAAGGCTTGCTGAGTGAAGAATGGGAGCTGAGGCTGCCTGGGAACCTTCCTCAGGTCTGGCTGTCTGAAACTAAGGTTGACAAAAGGCTCCTGAGGCCATCACACTCACTCCTTCCCTAGCTCATTTCTGGGTCATAGAAAAGCTTCCTGCAAGAATCTCCAGGCCTGTAAGTCCATGGAACAAACCTAGTGCTGAGTAAGAGCTGTGAGGGAAAAGGCCATCTTTCCTCATACTCATTCATTCATTCATTCAACAAACACTTCATGACACACCACTCCACATTACAGAAGTTGAGATGAAAAAGGTTAGGTCTCTATCCTGAAGGTATTAGCCTGGAGAGAGCCAGACTGGACACAACCTCCATTTTGGCTTCCTTATCTATCTCTTATCCTGCTCCCCTGCGTTCCTTCTCCACCTAACAGCCAAATGATCCTCTCAAACAAAGTAGATTCTCATCTTAAACCTTCTAACGACTTCCATGAGACCCTCTGTGACAGGGGGAGATGGATAAGTGGATGACGTTGTATTAAGTTTAGGGCACCTGGGAAGTCTCCCACAGGTTGCCAAATAATTAAAAGTTTATCTTTGTCCCACCTTCTTAGATCAGTATTTAGAGCCCTGGGAGTATGAGAGGGTTGAGGGTGAGGGGTCAAGACACACATACTAGATCCAATGGTAATATGGCCCCAAATCCCAGGTTTGTTAAGTTGCAGTCTGGCTCATGGGAGAAATTCTTTATTTAGATGCTTCAGTGACCAAGAGACAGAGCATAAGCACGCGCACACACACACCCATACACAATACATAAAGGCATTTCACAGGCAAAGGGATAGGCAATGGGGCGGGGGTGGGGGTGGGGGGGAGAGGCCACGACAGCAGCTAGGGGCTTCTTTGACTCAATGAAGGGGGGCCTATGATGGTGACACTCCTTGGAATTCCCGCTTGAAAGCTACAAGGAAATATCCACTCCCAGTGAAATCCCAGGCCGTAAAAGACAGCAGAGTTGGAGATATCTAGGTTTGGGGCCTGGGGAACACCTGTTTCCTCACTGCAGAAACCTGCACTGGCTCTCCTTTCTTTCCCTGGTACCCAGGAATCTCCTGGTGGATAATGGAAGAGGGCTAGCACCACAGCAACCTGGACAGGTGGTCTCCTACATGAGGAGGAGAGGGCTAGTAGAGCCAAGGAGCAGCATGGACCTTTGAGCTGGCTGGCATGAAATAGTTCACCTTTTAAGGGCACAGAATCATCAAGAAAACTTGCATGTGGGGGCTTTCCCACATGACCCTGGGTCAGAGCACCTCTCTGATGGGGGAGGGGAAAAGGCCCCCCTCTTAGAGCTTTCATAATCCCACTGGATACCGAGGCCTCCTCCAGCTCTAGCTTTTCCCCAGCTGATGCATATCCTTAGCACCATTCAGGAACTGTGGAGAAGAGGCAGAAGGACAGCACTGCTCTGCCAGGACTGTGTCATTGCTCCAGGAGGAGACTTCACAGTGGGCAGAAAACTGTGTAACTGGCCAGCATCCGGTCTCAGGCTCAGGAGAGCCTGCACTTTTTGGGGAAAGGGAGTGTGTCATGTCAGCTCCAAGCTCCCATAGGGCAGCCACTTCCATCTGCCCTTTCCTACCTAGGCAGAACTCTGGTGTGAAAGCTCCAGGTTTCACTGGAGCTGCCTGGAGCCCAGGGACAGCTCAGTTCTTTAGCCGCAGAGACTGGTTCAAAAATGACCTGCAAAGGAAAGACAGGCCTGGGGCTCATGACATATGGCCCAAAGAGGCTGGGGAAGGGGAAAGGCCATCCTCCAAACTACTATTCTGTGAGGCCCCAAGTCCTTTCAAGATCCACCCCCTTCCCTTGTCCTGACCTAGAGGGCCCATTCCAAAGGGGAAGAGCAGGAGTGGATTAGCCTGGACCAATCAGAGGCTATCTGTGGCCCACTCCTGCCTAAGGCCTATGTGTTCTCCAGGTATAAGAAAGGAGGAAGAGGGAGCCAAGGGCTGACCATGGTCACGGGAAGCTGGCTCACGGCTGGTTCAACCTGGGGTGCTGGACAGAAACACCTCTAGTCTTCCAAGGTGGCTGAGTCTTTCTGAATGGGCTGCCTTTGCATTGGAATCTGGCCCAGGGGTGATGCCATTGTTTTTGGTGACCTGTAGTTTGAGAAGGAATAAACACACAGGGTCAGTTTGTGGTGGTTATGATGGTGCTCCAGGTAATTTTCTAAAGATAGTACAGCTCTTCCAAGGCCTTGGAGTAATAAGGTGACCAGGTCTCCTTTACTGAGGGTCACTGCATGCTAGGCACAATGCTGGGTACTTTGCTTCTAGTATCCTATTTAATCTTCATGGCAATTCTACAAGGCGGGGATAGTACCCCTGTTTTGTATATAAGGAAACTAAAGTTCAGAAAGTCTAAGTCACCTGACCCCAGTAGGCTTTTTATTGTTGTTTTCTGTTTTGTTTTTTTTTAATTTTTAAAATTAAATAATTATGTTGTTGTTGTTGTTGTTGACCATCCCTCCATCCTTAAGCTTTTTAAAAGTGTGGCAGGTTCAGGACAGCAGCCCACATCTCTCCACTACCAAACCATTTATTCTGCCTATAGGGCCCTATATGACCTGGATAGTACAGACTGATCATTCTTTCCTTCACACTGAGTCAAAAGTGGCTCTCCAGTCACTCTATCCCACTTTCTGCGTACCTAGTAATAATTGATATTGTCTTATTTGTTTATGGATTTGTTTAGGATCTGCTTCTACCACTAGATGGGGATCCAAAAAAATCAGGGAACAGCATTGATCCTGGTTCCTACTGTAGCCCTAGTGCTCCATATAGGACCTGGCACATAGTAGGTACTCAATAAATATTTGTTGAATGAATGAAAGCTTACCTCTAATAGTTCCCTTTTCTGGTACCAGCATTTCACATACTTTATCTCTAACTCTCAGGTCATCCCATAAGGTGAGGATAATGAGCCCCATATGCAATGGCAGAGCAAAATAAATGTACTTTGGAATCAAAAGGTTTGAATTCTGGGTCTAACTCCAAGTAACTAAGTGGCTTGGGCAAGTTACTTAACCTACCTGACATTGGGTTTCCTCAGGTCGTAAAGGGGTGTGTGTGTGTGTGTGTCTTAATTCAGAGCTGCTACTGTGAATTAAATGAAATTAACTTAGGTGTTCAACAAATAGTAGCTATAATCTTACAGAAGAGGAAGTGGAGGCTCAGAGAAGTTTACTGACTCACCCAAAGTCACACAGCTGAAAATATAGAAAGAAAAGAGTAAATACTAGCATTTTCAAGACTGGGCACCCCCAGGGTAGGGCTCTGGTTGTCTCCAAGTTGTATGCTGAAACTGCCACCAGTCAAGCTGCAAGGGAGATGTGCTGAAATGGGAGTGAGCCCCAGGCTGGACTGTGCAGGCTTGTCTCAAGTCCATATCTAAAAGAAGCCTCAGGGGCGCCTGGGTGGCGCAGTCGGTTAAGCATCCGACTTCAGCCAGGTCACGATCTCGCGGTCCGTGAGTTCGAGCCCCGCGTCGGGCTCTGGGCTGATGGCTCAGAGCCTGGAGCCTGTTTCCGATTCTGTGTCTCCCTCTCTCTCTGCCCCTCCCCCGTTCATGCTCTGTCTCTCTCTGTCCCAAAAATAAATAAATGTTGAAAAAAAAAAATTTTTAAAAGAAGCCTCAAAAGTCCTCAGATCTGCTGCAATGTGGGAGGGGAAACTTCAGTCAGAGTGGAGAGGACCAAGGACATTTTGACTAATATTTTGTGTTTCCACCACCTTTAGTTAATTCAGCTCTGTGAACAATGCAGAACCTACCATTTAAGTCAAAGAAATCAGTTTATTAGACTTGGTTGCCTGAAACTCAATTTCCTTATCTATAAAATGAGTATATTCTCATCTCAGAAAGTTATGTTGTAGCACACTGTCCACACTACCCAGTTCCCTTCTGAGAGGAAGAGACAGAACTGCATAAGCCCTCCCCTTACCAGGCCCTAGCCTCCTCATATCACACGGTGCCATAACCTCCTTGTTAGCATGATGCCCTAGAAAAGCATGCTGTGAGCCAGACAAGACTCAGTTTGAATTATAGGCTCTGTCTCATAGTATCACTTGAATGGTGGTTGCCTCTGTCTATAATAATAATACCTTCTTCCTAGGGTTGTTGTGTGGATTACCTGAGAGGATTTGCTTGGCATATGCCCTGCAACAGAACAGGGGTTCAAAGAGTGTTAGTCATTTTCAAGGTTATCATGAACAGATGACAGTGTTTACCTCTTCCCTTCAAAGCACTTATCAGAATTTGTAATTATTGGTTGTTTACTCGTTTATTGTTTGTCTCCTCCCATCAGAACGTAAGGTCACAAGAGCAGGGACTGGATCTGTTTTGGCCACCACCCAGAGGGTGTTCAATAAATACTTGATCAATGAATGAACAAATCTGGTCATATTTGGTAATAACCTGGAGAGGGAGCTTTTGCCATAGAACTGATGGCAGTAGAGACTAGGTTCTTAGGCCAGTGACAGGCTTGAGGGAAGGGAAACTTCCCTAGTCAGACTGCTATAGGGCAGGAAATCTAAGTACTTTTAGGAGACCGCCAAGGAAAGTGTCTTAAGTTTCTCTACTCAAACCTTCAGTGGCAGGTCCAAAGGCTGTGGAGAAGCTGATGGGAGGAAAAACTTACAGAGGAGACACTTTTGTTAACTGATTGATTTTCTGTTGACTGAGAAAAGGCTGCCAGGATTCCATTTTAGCAAAGTAGTACCTGGCTTTGTTTTGATTTAGAAGCCTTGAGTTCTTGTAGCAGACCCTTGAATTTCAAAGGAAGATTACTCACTGGTTCTTGTGTTTGAAGCCGCTGACATGAGCTTGATACTGTTCTATGGAGTTCAGCACTATCTTACACGTCTTGCAGGGGTAACCCTTCCCAGCTGAAACACACATAAAAGTCAAGATACTTAGTTATCCAGGAACAAGGGACCTGGGGACTGCTGCTTTTGACAGTAAATGCCCTTCTGAGGATGGATGGTGGGGTGAGATTAGGTGGTTGGCCCTGATGAGAATCCCAGAGGCCTCAATGCTCAGGGGACACTGGCTGTGTGCCTATGTGCTTTCTGGGGTTGGGAACCTCCTCACTCCCCTCTGTACCCCCAAGTCCCAGAATCGAACCTGGTCTACAGTAGCTGTCTGTTGAGTAAATAAAAGATTGACAGAACAAAGAGGTGACATTTGGTGTATCTTTTTACCTGGACTGTGCTAAGTGGCCTCATTAAGGATGCCCTTCACTGAGAGATCTCTGGGAAACTGCCACTCTCCCTAGGCTTGCAATAACAGTAATTAATGAGAATGCCTGCTATGAAAATTAATCTAGTCTTCCTATCTTGGGGCTCACAGACACTCTTACTACCAGGGCTGATCCAATGACAAAGTGGCCTTTGTCCACATGGCCAAGATATGGAGCTGGACTCCTGGCTCTGCCTTCATGTGATCTTGACTAAACCCCTTCCCCTTTCTGATCCTCAGCTTTTCTCAACTGTAAGTCAATTATACCATAACTTATAACCATAATACTTATAATAAAAGCCAGTATCATTAACTAAGTACCTGATATAGGCCATGCACGCTTTATAATTTTGCTTGGCCCTCATAATGATTTTCTTGGGAAAATCATTATCATTATTTTATAAAGGAAAATAAGGCAAAGTCACATGTCTAAGAACACAGTGTTAGTAAGTGGCAAACTCAGGCTTGGCTGACCACAAAGGCTGTACTTATTCTAGCGTGACAGATGTTAGCTGTACAAGAAAGGCAGCTGTACACATGACTTCAAGAGCCCTCTGGTTCTGACACTCTTCTAACCATCTGCCACCCTAAAGTTTCACAGCTCTGGAGTAAGATCACCTAGGCTCAAATCCCAGCTCTATCATTTCTTACCTGTAGGACCACAGGCCAGTTACTTAACCTCTCTGAGATTTGGTTTCCTCATTTGTAAAAGTGGGGCTTCTCTGAGACTCAGGTTCCTTACCTATAAAATGAGGTTAATATTAGTATCAACCTCATAAAGTTACTGTAATGATTTAAATAAAAGCATTTGACACATAGTAAGTGCTCAACAAATGTGAGCTCTTATTACTAGTATTTTTTCACTCTTATGGGCTCCATGCATCAGTCTGGCAAAGAGGTGGAGAGTATCTTTTAACCAGCCTTCTATGGCAGCTGTAGCTGAGAACACCAATGATCTCCTCTACTCCAATTAGCTAGCCGATGTTCCTTTCTATCTTCAGGTATTTCCTGGAAGACACACCCCTTTAGAGCATTTAAGGGGAATATTACTGCAATCAGAATTCAGGTCCATTTTAGACATTTATGGCCAGCATTTGCAGAAGGCTTAATCTTAGACCCTCAGCTCTTCTCTTTCTAAACTCTCTAGGGGTTTCATTCATTCTGCTGACTTTCATTACCACCTAAAATATATGAAACCACTAATATTTAACAATTACTGACCTACCAAAATGGCAATATCTCTAACCCAGACCTCTCATTTGAGTTCTAGACCTATATATCCAACTGCCTACTTGGATATCTCATGGGCATCTTAACTCCAAGCTGACAAAACCTGGCTATCCACCTAATTGCTTAAGACTAAATCTGGTTATCATCTTCGACTATTCCCTCTCCTTCACCTCCCACATTTTTTTTTTTTTTTTTTTTTTTTT